CCTAATGTGATATTATATCCTATTACAGAGTCAGTGTGTGAGTTGGTAGGGGTCACTAAGCTGCCCTATGGCCAGGTGCCTATGTTGTTATACAATGGAGAGGTCACCCTGCAGACACAGAGTGGGAAGACATCTAACTTGGTCCTAGACACTCACAGTTTTGATGGCAGAAACCTACAGGAGATGCCTCCTGCTGATGTAAGTGAAATTATTGCAGTACTGGTATTCTCACTAGTATATAAAATGTTGCCTGTAAGTGTTAAGTGCTCTTGTATTTTTTTCCTTTTTTTTCTAGCACAAACTTTTACTTACTTGAAATGTTTCACTGTACAGAAGACACTTTTATCAGTGAACTGAAAGTTCTTATTAATGAAATTATGTCAACACATTGTCTGTATGAATATTTACTAACTAATTTTATCAGAAGAAGAGGAACAAACTTCTTCAGTCATATGTATTTTTAATAATACAAAAATGTGATGTAACACCATAAATATAGAATTAAGTCATGAACAGTGAGTGTGACTTATTCATGAAACTGCAATTTTCAAAATCTTGCTCTAAATCACACTAGTTTTTACAAAATTCTGACGTATTCACTTTGCTTTTGATGTAAGAGCAGTGAAACTTTTGTAGCATCTTTGTCCCATGGTGTGTATTTACACTTAGGTGGTATTATTTAATATGTTCTAGGTGAAGACAGCTCTAGACCAGTGTATAAAGCTGAGGAGATACAAGGATGCCTGGGCTCTCAGTGCTCACCTGGACTCCAGAGAGTCTTGGCTGGACCTGGGCAGAGCTGCCCTCTATAATCTGGAGATAGACTTTGGTAAGAAGTGTGTTAACTTGTCAGAGAAGAATTTCATTAGCTGTGTTAGGTTATAAGAATGATGTGATTTTTTCTTCAGTCAACAACTAATATTGAGATATTCACCTGGATAGCCTTATTCCCTGAACAAGATGTCTTGATAGACATCGAAATATTGGAGGTAAAACCTCAATATTAGCTGTTGACTGAAGAAAAAATCACATCATTCTTGTGTTAACTTGGCAGTAACAGAGCTGTCCTCTATAATCTGGAGATAGACTTTAGTAAAAAAAACTTTTAGACAGTGATCTAGACCAAGGGTGATCTGTACACACTAACGGGTACAGGATTAAGCAATACTCCTACCAAGATTAAAATATTTTGAAATACTTCAACCATAATTTTCACTTTAACCAGCAAAGATTTTTCTTTCATTTCTAACCATACACATTTATATAGGAACTAAAGAAATTGCATTACTACATAGACAGAACAAAACATGTCAACAACCATTCTCATTAAAACCATTGAAATAAGGTGTCCTAAATCTTGCCCCTTGCAGCCATGCGTGTGTACAGACAGATAGGAGATGTGGGGATGGTGATGTCACTGCAGGCTATCAAGGACTCTGAGGACAGGAATCTGTTGGCTGGCTACATAGCTATGTTCACTGAGGACTTTAACAGGGCTCAAGATCTGTTTCTGGCCTCCAGTAATCCTCAGGCCGCTCTAGAGGTAAGTTTACCGAGGACTTTAACAGGGCTCAAGATCTGTTTCTGGCCTCCAGTAGTCCTCAGGCCGCTCTAGAGGTAATGACTTGAAAAATCTTTTTCTTTTATTATTATTATTATTATTATTATTATTACTATTATTATTATTATTATTATTATTATCATCGTCATTATTTTTAAAAATTATAATTATATTTTTTAGAGTGATATGTTGAACCAGATTTATGAATTAATCAATTAATTTAAGATCTGGGTGTTCATTTAACATCACACTCTTTGGTATATTTTATTTGTTTGTCAAACCTGGAAAGTGAAAATCTAAACTTAACATTGCTGCAGTATTTTTTTTTTTTTTCATTTTACCTTAATGAATAAAGCCATTCAATTTCCAGATGCGCCGAGACCTGCTGCACTGGGACTCTGCACTGCAGTTGGCCAAGGCGCTGGCCCCTGACCAGATCCCGTTCATCTCCAAGGAGTATGCCCAGCAGCTGGAGTTCACTGGGGATTACACTAACTCCCTGATGCACTATGAGAAGGGGATCACCAAGGAGGAGGCGTACAGGGAACATGACGAGAACTGTGCTGCCGGGGTGGCTAGGATGTCCATCAGACTTGGGGATATCAGGAGGTATGTCTATATTGTCATGTTCTCCTATACTTTTCCAGGGGTGTAGGTATGGCTGTACATATGCACTATGTCTGTATTGTCATGTTCTCCTATATATATTTCCAGGGGTGTAGGTATGGCTGTACATATGCACTATGTCTGTATTGTCATGTTTTCCTATATATTTCCAGGGGTGTAGGTATGGCTGTACATATGCACTATGTCTGTATTATCATATTCTCCTATATATTTCCAGGGGTGTAGGTATGGCTGTACAGATGCCAGGAAGAGCACTGAAGAAGGATTGTGCACAGATATTGGAAAACATGAAGGTATGGGAATTAGCCCAATATTTTACTTTTTTAATCACTATATATTCTATGAGAATTCAGCATTTAAATAGTTAACATATTATATTAAACCAGTTGCTCAGTTGTTACAGTGGCATGACTTGCAAATTACAAGTTCATACATATGGTGGAAAAGGGATAATATGGCTAGGTAATTTAAAGAAAATTTAAAATTTATTATGTTTACGAGTACGTTAAAACATCTTGTCCTTGTCAAACCACAGGTAGTTGCAATACGTTTTTCAAAGCAGCATTTTTTTGATATATAAAAAATATCAATTTTCATTTTTGTTCATTTTTATTATTTTGTTTATTTATATATTTATTTAAAATTATCATTATAGCAATGGTCTGAGGCTGCTATGCTGTATGAGAAAGGTGGTTACTATGACAAGGCTGCGGCTGTCTACATTAGGTCCAAAAACTGGTAAGATGTTTATTATTATCATAATACCTATAGAATTACTGTCACGAAAAAGAAAGTAAATACTATATGAAGTATGACTAACCATATTGTGGTTCTCTTTCTTCTTCTTCTTCAATTTTTTTATTATCATTATTACTAATAAATCCTGATAATAACTTACTGTCAGTGTAAACTAGCAGGTTATATCGGACATGTGATGAGGTAAAGGGAAGCATGTGATTCATGTCAGTTTATAATAATTACTGTTGTAAATATAATATTTACTTTAATTCTTTTCTCTTTTACATATTATACTTAATGGTTGCAAGTTGAATAAACTAGTATCTAACACTGGCTGATATAGGAAAGTAACTGTGTTATACTTAATGGTCTGAAGTACAATAAACAAGTAGCAAAACTGGCAGATAAATGTGTGGAACTGTGTTCTCCCCAGGGCCAAGGTTGGTGAGCTGCTCCCCCAGGTGACCTCCCCTAAGATCCATGCCCAGTATGCCAAGGCTAAGGAGGCAGATGGCCGCTACAAGGAGGCAGCACAGGCGTATGAGAATGCCAAGGACTGGGACAGTGTCATCAGGTAGATAGCAAACTAAATTATTGCTGTTACACGTACTTGATGATACTCTGGATTGAATAACTTCAAGGATATCAAGGTTAAGATATAAAGGATGTGCAGCCTAGAACTGTTTCAGTCAAGTTTACAACTCAAGTGATAATGAATTATTGATTGCGGATGTGTATATAGGATGTTATCCCAGAACTGGCTCTATCGCCTTTACTTGTTCAACTAAAAATTAATTATCTGTCTTATTGGTGTAGTCCCTTAGAATGCTCCGTGACTGAGCAGTTCCCAAAATATCAGGTGTGAATTGCAATGTCCATGACACTTGTTCCAGGATAAGAGGTTTTAGTATTAAACACCTTAACCCTGAGTAATAAAAACTAAGGTGTACTCCACTGTTCTGAAGCAATTGTTTTGTAATTATCACCTGAGTTGTTAGTGTGAGATAACCTGAGATACACACTACTTGTACTCTTTGTCATCTTACAACGTTACAATAAAGACCAGTTATTGATTAATATATTGCACATCAAGTTGAAAGCAATACATGGGTTGTCTTATATTTTCTCTGCCAGTTTTCAGTGTTTATTACTACCATGCTACCTGTTAATATCAGTACTTAATGTCAACTTTTGTCCCCACACCAAATGCAAGTCAAGTTAAAGCTGAGAAGAAAAATGTGTAACTATTTTGTATAAGAATTTGTCCAGCTAGTGGACCTTATTTCTTCTTAGAATTTTACACTCAAAGGACCTGCAGGCTTAGAAATATTTTGACACAGACTGTAATAATAGAGATATGTAATTCTACTCTGTGTGATGTTATTATTTTTAGGATCAACTTGGATCACCTCCAGAACCCAGAAGATGCAGTGAGGATAGTAAGGGAAACACAGTCAGTGGAGGGAGCCAAGATGGTGGCTAAGTAAGTCACTGGGATACCACTAGCTACAGCATCCTAACAATATGTTTGCTTTGACATATGAGGTTTTTACTTATCGTAATCATTGATTATTAGAATATCTTATTTCATTGTAATTTTTAAATGTTATTTTGAAATATAGCACTTGTGTTACATTTATTACACAGCAGGTTCTTGTTCTATCCAGGTTTTTCTTGAAGCTGAATGATTATGCGTCTGCCATCCAGTTCCTAGTGATGTCCAAGTGCAATGATGAGGCCTTCCAGCTGGCACAGCAACATGATCAGATGGAAGTGTATGCAGAGATTATAGGTATTCAAGGTTTCCTTTTCTGTTGGATGATATTTACACCTTAAAAGAGATGTGGTGAAATGGAAGAGTAAGGATGCAATTGCTGGTTGTAGGTGTACTTAGTTTAAGGTAGCTTAAGTTTATGAATTATTTCATATTCCATTTATTTATTTATTTTTGAACGGGTTGTTTAAGTAAAAAATGTTTAAAAAATGAACAGAAGGTTTAAGAAACCTAAATATGTGACAAAGTAATTTAGAATATGTATATTCCAGGCTCTGATGCCACTGCAGAGGACTACCAGAGTATTGCCCTGTACTTTGAGAATGAAAAGAACCACTTCCTGGCTGGGAAGTTTTTCTTCTTGTGTGCCCAATATGGAAGGGTAAGAATTTGGTAGACACTGTTCCTGCTCAAATACATGCTTGCTTTTTGTCTCTCACACACATGCACGCACACACGCACGCACTAAGGTCATAAATACACACAACTCATTTTTATTTCTTGTGCGAAATCAATGTATCTTTTAAGTAGAAAGGAAAGATTACTTTTAAGTAGGTCAAAAAAAAAAATGGGATTAAATTTCTTAGTTTTTTAACGCAATGCATGTACATAGTTGTTCTGCAGGACACCCCTTAAGTGTAATAATAATGTTTATAAATGATTTCCTTATCTTCTTTGTCTTCTAGGCTCTCAAACATTTCCTGCGCTGTTCTAACAGTGATGATAGTAAGGCAATAGGGATGGCCATAGAGACAGTGGGGCAGGCCAATGATGATGCTCTCACCCATCAGCTGTTTGATTATCTACTGGGAGAAACAGATGGTGTGCCCAAGGTAAATGACTGTCTATCTAGATTGGTTTTTTCACTAAATGTCCTTAATGTTCTTGGGTGTTTCTTCAAAATTACTACATAAAAGCAACTTAAAGGTGAGGCAGACTTTCATAGACTGTCTTACAATTCATATTACATTACTTTAAACTAAGATATAATGTTTTTTGACATGACTTCACTGTCTTCTTATGATAATTATGATATTTTGCAAGACACGATTTCTTTTCTGAAGAAGTCTAACAGCATGATTGAAAACATTATTTCAACACAGAGAGTATTTAATATTATTAATATCAATGCCAGTTATATCTCATGCATTCCTATTTGTCCCATTCCAGGCCAGCAAGTACCTGTTCCGCCTGTATATGGCACTGAAACAGTTCAGGGAGGCTGCCAGAACAGCCATTATCATAGCCAGGGAGGAGCAGAATGCTGGTAAGAACCCATGCATGCATCAGCTGTCAGTGGCATTACAAATATGGTTCATTGTACTTTCCTGTTTCTAATTCTATTTCCTTTTTTTTCCTGGCCAGTCACACCCTAGCATTTGGTTATTTAGGTCACTTTCTAATCTCAAGAGATATGACTTAGACTGAATCAAGTTTTCACATTGCCTGCAGATATGAGCTTAATAAGCAGAAAGAGATGTTGTCAAGTGGTGTCATGATATAGTACTGGGAATGGCAAAGATGTAACAGCACTACATTTTGCCTGTTTTCTTTAACTGGACTTTATTTATTTATTTATTTATTTATTTATTTATTGTCAGGAAACTACCGAGATGCCCATGATGTTCTGTTCAGCATGTACCAGGAACTGAAGCAGCAGAAAATCAAGATCCCATCAGAAATGGCTCATAACTTAATGATTCTTCACAGTTATATACTGGCAAAGGTATGAACTTGACCTCAACTTACCTGAATGAACAGTGACAGGGCACATAGTTTACACTGGATAGGTTTCCTGGGCAGTAAATTATCTCCATTTAATTTTTGCTCTAATAATGTATTTGCTGAAATTATTTGTACTTGCTGAAATTTATTATATTTTATTTTGAATAATTAATAAACAGAAGCATAATATATCAGCTCTGGGAAGCTTGTTAACATATTGAAGACTGAATTGATTGAAATTATGAACGTTATGAAAAATATTATTGCAGAGTTAGATATAGGTGTGAACGTGTTGCCACTTGACCAGCCTAGAATGATGTCTATAGAGTATATGTGGTCATGTAATAACTCATTCCAGTGTCATCTCAGGCTACACTTAATATATGTGTTTACCAAGGGATCTTTTTATTAAACATGTTACTGTGTCTGGCCTCAGGTTCATGTTAAGAGAGGGGACCATCTCAAAGGGGCTAGGATGTTGATACGTGTGGCCAATAACATCAGCAAATTTCCCTCTCGTAAGTAGTAGTCTTGACTTTAATATTAATTATGGCCGATTTCAGTTGACAGTATTTCTTCAGTTAATTGGAGTAATTGAAATGAATTAGTTTGTGGCAAAATTTGACCTTGAATGCATCTTGAAATTGCTTAAAAATCTGACTGATGACAACTTGGGTTTCTTATTCCAATTTGATAGTTGCAGTTTGGTTTAAGTAATAACATATCTCTTTATATAAAAGTCATTTAATAATTGTTAATATTGGTGAAGATTGTATCATTGACCAGTGTAGAATTCAAAGATATGAATATCCGAAAGTTCAAGTTCTCAGTTGTAAATGAATTGAGTGATGTATTTTCAGATATTGTTCAGATCCTCACGTCCACTGTGATAGAGTGCCACAAGGCAGGACTGAAGAATTCCTGCTTCAGCTATGCAGCCATGCTGATGAGACCAGAGTACAGGAACCAGATAGATGTGAAATACAAGAAGAAAATAGAACAGATAGTGAGGTTAGTGGTGCACAAGATTCAAGAGATAGTGTTTTGAGGAGCTGAGTGAAAAACAGGAAACGGGAAGTCAAAATTGATGTCTCAGAAAGTGTGAAAAACAGAAAACGTGAAGTCAAAATTGATGTCTCAGAGTGTGAAAAACGGGAAACAGGAAAATTGATGCCCCGGAAAGTGTGAATTTCTCTCAGTCCTAATGCAGGTGGTATCATTTTGTGGATTTGAGTTAAAATAAACACTTAGCAGGATGTTTTGTCAAATGCAAGAAGAAAAGTGGAATGAATCTCTTATATATCATATCAGAGGTTCAAAGTATGAAAAAAGTACATGCATTCAAAGACACATATAAAACTTTTTTATTAATCTTGTAATAAATATATTTCCTTGAGTGATCTCAAATGTTTATTTATTTATTTATTTATTTATTTATTTATTCATTTATTCAACCCTGTCAGATGACGGGACTGTTTCACATGGGTTTAAAAAAAAATTAAGCACCTTGCTGCACCCTGTATAATTTAGGAAGGGTTTTGTGAAACCATCATCTTATGGCATGTAAGCTGCTTTGTTATGATATATGATATCCTAGATTTGTGTTTTATATAGGCAGCTAAAAGAAACTGATCACATTATGTTTTACAGAAAACCTGATAAAACAGAGGAAGACGAGCCCACGACCCCCTGTCCCCAGTGTGGGTACGCCCAGGCAGAGACAGAGCTGGTCTGCCCCAACTGCAAGAATAACATTCCATACTGTATCATTACTGTGAGTTCACTTACCTTTTCATTCAGTCAGTCAGTTTTTTTTTTTTTTAACTTGATAGAACCTACCTTCAAAATCATCAGATAAAATGGAAAAACTTCTGGCAACAATAGTTGGGATGGTTCTATATCTAGATGATAATAAGATAAAAGTTGTACATTCAAAGCTAAATGGCCTAATTATTGTAAATATTTGCAGGGACGCCACATGACGAAGGACAATGTGACAGCATGCCCCAGGTGTGATTTCCCTGCTCTCAAGGATGAGTTTCTTAGGTATGTTCACTGTCTGTCTAAGTGTATGTCTGTCTTTCCTTTTGTCTGTGTACCTTCTGGCATGTGTGCCTACAATTCAGTGGTTATTAAGTTTATATGCCCTGTTAGCCAGAATCTGGTTGAAAATGACTATATCAAACTGGTCGTTTTAATAATTCCATTATTTGTCTTCAGAAAAAGTTAGTCATATTGCTGAAGATGCCACATCAGCGTTTTTTGGAGTGAAAGTGCTATTTTTTAATTTGTTGATTTTCTCTACCACATAGGCTGTTTTGAAAAGAAATACATCAAATATGAGCCGTGCATTAGTAGTACAGGACAACCCCTTTCACCAATTCACTTTCTGAATTCCATTGTTTGGACAGATCACCAATAATCCTGTTTACTGGCCACGTCGAGGGGAGTGATTACTTGGCTCTTAAATAATAGCTGAACTATGAATTTGTCTATCTACCAAATAATTTCCACATGTTTATTTTAGTGTACTGGAGACAGAAGAGAACTGCCCCATGTGTTCAGAGATGGTGAAGAGCGAGGAACTGAAAGATGTCATGGACCTGAACAAATACATGAATCCTGACGAGGGAGAGGACTGATGGCACCATAAGAGCACTTCTTTTTGAACACAATATCAGAGATTTGAAAAAAAAAGGTTGCAAAGTCATGAGACAAAAGGAGTGGATCATAGATTATGGTAGAAGAGAGGATACCATATGTCTCTTCTCTCCTATTAAAATTAACTTTTTACATAACCCTGTTTTGCATCAGGTATTATTGTATTTAGAAGGCTAGGTGTTGAAAGCTTTTTAGCAGGTGACCAGCGGGTGAAAAGCTTTATATGATATCATAAAGTTGTGAATTTTGCTGTGAGGAGGATATTCTGAGAAACGAGCTACATGTTTTTTTTTTATTTGCAAAGATGTTCGATGCATTATCAAATAAAGAAATCCGTCCATTTCAATTAATACTAATGTTGTTTTTAATTTGAAACTATGTACATTATATGTATTGGAAGTCTCTAGTTGGATATTTTTTGTGAATGTTAAGACGTGATTGTGCACCATCTTTACTGTAAAAAGACCGAGAGTTATGGCAGAAGCATGTGTGGTGACTGTTGAAAGCTTTCTGCTTTGATATAGCCTCTTCATCTGACCAAGGCAAAGATCTATTTCACCAGACGTAAAGGTGAACGACCGTCTACCCGTAATCCGCAATCAGTAGGCAAAGGAGAAATATGTGGTAATGAAACCTGTGTGGTGCGATAAAACTAATGAACTACGTGTATATACACTAATTAAACCAACGTGGAATTATCACGAACATCTTACCACAGGAATCGAATGTCTCTAGAAACAACCTACTTGTCCACAAGTAAAAGAACTGAAAGATTGAAACGAGCATGCTAAAATTCAGACATATCATTTTTCCTGTATAAGTTGTTTTTATGGATTGCACTTTGTTCATATCTGTGTGTACAGGATGTAAAATAAAGATTTTTTATATCAAATTCCATTGGTTTATCTTGCTTGTGACAAAGATTTCTTTTATTTGTTTATTCTGCTGTATGTTAAAAATGCTGTATGTACACGGTATTAAATAGCAATCAGAAAACGGTAGCTCTGGCGGGGTGGGGCTCATTTTGTTGGGAGACTTTCGGAAAACTTTCATTCTTACTAATTACGTGTAGGTGTTAAGATTATGATAAAACTATTTAATTGTACGCGGTGAAAATATAAATCTTTACCTTTTTCTAGCCGTGAGCATTCTTTAATGTTGCCGTGTTGTACAACAGCAACTGAATAAGATCAACAGACCATTCCTTTTGTAAAGTAATGAATTTCTCCATTTGAAATCAGAAGCATGTTATATTGGACTTTTTCGGTTTTCTTTTTGGAAATCACATCCTCGTTCATCAAGTTAATCGCGACATATTTGATAAACACTTCTCGGGATTCCGTGTCTTGATTGAAAGGATAAAGTGCGTGATTCAGCGGTCCTGTGTGATTGTACCTTACACTGGTATGAGATGGCTGCTGGTGCGTCACTGACGGATTGGATTCATCATAGTGTTTTTAAGTTGATGGCTTACACTTTCATTAATTGCAAGCGATAAGTGAAGTAGAATCAAATAAGTAAAAACTTATCGAGCTATTGAGTGAAAGTTCAATTTCCTGATGAGTCAACAAGTGAAGAAATGGGAGGAAGTAGGGAAAGAAATGAAAAATATCAAAGTCGCATGTAGTTTTATTTGATTGGTTAATTTCACAATCAATTTGCAATTTCTACCACGTTTTTTCTTCTACCAAGTTATGGATACCATCCAAATTTAATGTGATGCAAAATATTTTAGGTTTTTAACTGAAAACAAAATTCTTAGAAATATAGAATGGTGGAATCACAAATCAGACTGGAAAATTCTGGAAATCACTCAAAAGGCAGTGTAACGAAAACGAACAAATGCGTGATTGGTACGGANGCTAGGTGTTGAAAGCTTTTTAGCAGGTGACCAGCGGGTGAAAAGCTTTATATGATATCATAAAGTTGTGAATTTTGCTGTGAGGAGGATATTCTGAGAAACGAGCTACATGTTTTTTTTTATTTGCAAAGATGTTCGATGCATTATCAAATAAAGAAATCCGTCCATTTCAATTAATACTAATGTTGTTTTTAATTTGAAACTATGTACATTATATGTATTGGAAGTCTCTAGTTGGATATTTTTTGTGAATGTTAAGACGTGATTGTGCACCATCTTTACTGTAAAAAGACCGAGAGTTATGGCAGAAGCATGTGTGGTGACTGTTGAAAGCTTTCTGCTTTGATATAGCCTCTTCATCTGACCAAGGCAAAGATCTATTTCACCAGACGTAAAGGTGAACGACCGTCTACCCGTAATCCGCAATCAGTAGGCAAAGGAGAAATATGTGGTAATGAAACCTGTGTGGTGCGATAAAACTCATGAACTACGTGTATATACACTAATTAAACCAACGTGGAATTATCACGAACATCTTACCACAGGAATCGAATGTCTCTAGAAACAACCTACTTGTCCACAAGTAAAAGAACTGAAAGATTGAAACAAGCATGCTAAAATTCAGACATATCATTTTTCCTGTATAAGTTGTTTTTATGGATTGCACTTTGTTCATATCTGTGTGTACAGGATGTAAAATAAAGATTTTTTATATCAAATTCCATTGGTTTATCTTGCTTGTGACAAAGATTTCTTTTATTTGTTTATTCTGCTGTATGTTAAAAATGCTGTATGTACACGGTATTAAATAGCAATCAGAAAACGGTAGCTCTGGCGGGGTGGGGCTCATTTTGTTGGGAGACTTTCGGAAAACTTTCATTCTTACTAATTACGTGTAGGTGTTAAGATTATGATAAAACTATTTAATTGTACGCGGTGAAAATATAAATCTTTACCTTTTTCTAGCCGTGAGCATTCTTTAATGTTGCCGTGTTGTACAACAGCAACTGAATAAGATCAACAGACCATTCCTTTTGTAAAGTAATGAATTTCTCCATTTGAAATCAGAAGCATGTTATATTGGACTTTTTCGGTTTTCTTTTTGGAAATCACATCCTCGTTCATCAAGTTAATCGCGACATATTTGATAAACACTTCTCGGGATTCCGTGTCTTGATTGAAAGGATAAAGTGCGTGATTCAGCGGTCCTGTGTGATTGTACCTTACACTGGTATGAGATGGCTGCTGGTGCGTCACTGACGGATTGGATTCATCATAGTGTTTTTAAGTTGATGGCTTACACTTTCATTAATTGCAAGCGATAAGTGAAGTAGAATCAAATAAGTAAAAACTTATCGAGCTATTGAGTGAAAGTTCAATTTCCTGATGAGTCAACAAGTGAAGAAATGGGAGGAAGTAGGGAAAGAAATGAAAAATATCAAAGTCGCATGTAGTTTTATTTGATTGGTTAATTTCACAATCAATTTGCAATTTCTACCACGTTTTTTCTTCTACCAAGTTATGGATACCATCCAAATTTAATGTGATGCAAAAATATTTTAGGTTTTTAACTAAAAACAAAATTCTTAGAAATATAGAATGGTGGAATCACAAATCAGACTGGAAAATTCTGGAAATCACTCAAAAGGCAGTGTAACGAAAACGAGCAAATGCGTGATTGGTACGGAAATAAGAGAATGTAGGGACTGTTGAGTTTTGTACGTAAACTAAGTCGATAAATAAACGCTTGAACGTTCCAACTCGTCGTTGTCGTCCCTGTAATAATCACACCTGTCTATCAGTAAGCCTGTTACGTAATCCAAGAGGGATTATCTGCAGGGATCCCTCACACCACTGTAACATATCGTATATATTCCCATGCTCACACGTATTACGCTGTCCTTTGGGGTTCTGGAAAGTGGATTGTTTAATATACAATTGACACAATCTTATCCACCAACGTAACATGCAGAAGCTGTATGCTGCTTACCGGTCACCAAACTCAGCACGTATAATGGGGATGTCGTTGACACTTTCGATACACGTTCCTTATTAATTCTAACCGTCAACTTCACTGTACTCGTTGTTCAAAACTCAAAGAACTGTTTCCAAACGCGTTTTCTGATAAATTTCCCCGAAGCTTACATTTGTAGAATCTTGCACTTCTCGTGTCTATGCATGATCTCAGCATTTGGTGGTCTTGTTTTACCACGACTGAGGTTTACAGAAGGTCTGGGAAACAAGGCAAATGAAAGTTGCACTTGTTAATATGTACCACAGAAAAAACAATTACAAAAAAAAAAAAAAATCTATGGAACAAGTTCTCAAGCTGTTTCAAAATGATCAACAAATCATTGTACCTTTCTAGTATTTACAAATTTAATTTCAAAATTTAACTTTCACATTTAATTTCGACTATTCTCAGATGACACATTCGTACCAGTTTTAGGTGAAGTTTAAGATAAGCTGCTTACATGCGATAGCCCGGTCAGTGAACTCAGCCTCGAGAGATTAGCCGCATGTGTTACTGTCAAACAATGCCGTCGTGCCAATTAAGAATTTCTACGTGCACGGTTGTTCTCAATCAATGAGCTTTGGATATTCTCGTTGATTCTTTTCCGATGACCACAGTGAATTTGACTTTAAGTCCAGTGGTTATGAACATCTTCCTCATATTGTTTTTTTAAATAGAAATATGTATTATTTATGCGTTAGAGTTGTTCCCTGGACCTACATTATACCGATTTTTTTATTTTAACAATTTAAAATGTCTTAACGGCTCGATTATCAAAGCGTTAATATTACACTGTAGCTTACAAGCAAAGCACTGCAAACTTCATGCCAATGCCACAGATTAAGAGCTATTGCATGTAAAGCTCTCTTTGAAAGGCGTCCTTTCTGCATCCCGTAGTACTGTTTGAGAGTGAAAAACAAGAATACTTTACGTGCCGACAACCGGCCGATCATTGAGCATTCATTCTGCAACCAAAGCAATGCTTGTGCCTCCTTTCTACGAGCACAGCGAATCCAGCTACATGGTGGCACAAAGGATGCAGGAAAGACACCGTCCAGTGTAAAGGGGGTTTTAGAGACAATATCGTGGAGTCCCCAGGTTTCATTAATTTCTTATGAATAATGATTTTCTGAAAAATGAATCTCGAAATGATTTATTTTTGCTATTAATCCCATGCAAAACTAAAAAATGTGGTACAAGGCGACGTCCAAAGGAACTTTATACTAGTTTTTCTCAATCCAACAAAAGCTTGGTTCTATAAGAGTTTCCCTAAATAAGAGGAAAATATTTCAGTGAATATGTCTCTTATTTATCATAATCCATGACAACTTTTATTTTGGCACCAGTGAAACTAAAATCAATATTTATCCATATATGCAGGACTTAAAACATTTTCTCCACAATTATGATTTGAGAATTTGTCACAATACAATAGCTTCAAAGTTTCGTTTTTACGAAAACAAATAAAACTGTCTTGAATCAGGTAAATGACAAACGCATCGAACGCATATTTTTGTCAACAGCCATCAATTTTATTCACAGTGTTATAGCCCAAGTTAACAACTTGTATTTATCTTACATTTATTTCCAATGAAAGTATTTGTACATAACAACAGCACATTCATACTGTTTTATATAGAAAAAAATGACATATATTAACACTCTTCTTTACCTTTAATTTGAGAGTTTTTAACTTGTCGAATGCAATTATGACAAAGAGCATGCAGTGCAAAACCTAAGGTCCGTGAAATAAGAGTTATATGACAACAACAACCCTAAACTTGCTTTGTATCAACAATAATTTTACACCGATGCTTTACAAACACAATGGCCAATCGTACTTCCAACTGAAATATCAAATATAATTGTCCTCTATCTTGTTTTCAGGGGGTCGGATCTTTTTCCTTATTGACGTCATCCAGTCACAAAATCTCTTTCGTACCACATCGGTTCGCAGTGTATAGATGAAGGGGTTGGCAAAACTATTAATGATAACGAACGAAGCAGTGACCTGCGCCATACCGTAAGCGTGAACGGAATGCTGAACCAATACAAATACTCTGTTCATTATGATTGTTGGTAAAACGGTAAGAACATACACGGCGATAACTATAAGACTCGTGACAATAACATGTTGGTCTTTTTGAACCAATTTAATATAATGGTGATCGGTTCCATTTTTGATTTCGAACACATCTGAGTATTCGCATGCCAAAGTCTCTGCAAAATGTCTACTTCTGCCTTCACGCGTGGCATCAAACGTGGAACCATTAAACTGAGATTCTTCCAATCTGGTATTGGATATAGTACTTACTATATGGCCCGTGGCATAAGGTTTTATTGCTTGACGTTGATGTAAAATTTTCTTAAACGCAGATATATAACTGACGAGCATCACCGTGCCACAAATGATAGCCAAAGGAATCAGAGCAGAAACGGTAACTTCACCTCTTCCTTCACTATGACATTCCACCTGAAAAGGGTACTCCTTTTTCCTCAGTATGTCAACCATTGACAAGCAAAATCCGATCATCCAAGGCAGGACTATGCCTGCTTTCATCAATGCCTTGCTGACGTCGTGCGTTGGGTGACGAATTTTATACGAACGTAGAACGCTGATGGTTGCCAGAATGGTCATGTTAATGGCAGGTCCGAAGATGATCCCGCGGGCAATGGTGCATTTAGATGGGAAGTGCTCTCCCCACGACCACACCGAAAAGATCGTGAATGGCGCCACCGTGATGCAGATAAGTAGATCAACGACCGCCAGATTGATGTGGAAGGAATTGTCCCAGGTCCGCAGGATGGGGGTGGAGATAGTTATGATGATCACACTGGCGTTTCCAAAGGTACCCAGTACGATGGCAATCGTCGAAAGCACCGTGACCGTGATTCTGGCCCATTTCGTATAGTTATAAACTTCCAAATCATCACAAAGATCCGTCATGTTGCCTGCAAATATGGAACAATTTGCGCCAGTGTGCAGGGACATTGCTGTATGCAATGTCGTGACTTAGTTCTTCGGCTGACGCTTGTGAAATGTGATTGTCAATCAAAACCTCAGAAAATACGTTGGTTGTGTGGACGTCATTGCCGGCAGGTTCTCATGCCAATAACCAATGTAATCTCACACCTTTGCCATCTGCATGTGACGCAGCGGTTTCTTTGTTCATTTTTACCTGTTGCACAGCTAAGCAGGTCTTTATATCGTAGATTTAACCGAAGGTCATTTCCACCGCAGGCTCTTTATATTAGGATCGAACCTTAAGCTTGTAAGCCGACGTGGCGACAAAACAAAATATACGTGCATATCTATCGAGTACAGTTATATACACTGCATTGGGCAAAATGATGAATATAGTGAGGTCACGCACCTTTCTGTTCGGTCATTTATGTAACATATAAAATGAAGAAATTCAAAACTTTACGATTTAAGCGATTTTCTTAGAAATTAAAAAAAATCGATGGTTATGGAGCCTATTGCCAATGTGCACACGTAGACATGTATTCATTATCTTTGTGAATGGTAGAACAGTATAGTGCTTGCTGCAGCTTAAAAAAGAAAGATCATTAACAAATCTATAGCCTCACTTGAGCCTTGACTCAAAATCTTAGTGATCATTTACGCCTTTCTCAAATTGTTGAAAGTCCAACAAATAATTTCCTGCTGTTGTGCTACTTATTTGAAACCTTGCGGAGACTGTTCAGCAATCCCATGCCTTCAACTTTTGGTAAGAGCTTTCATTTCAAAGATAAAAGCTGCAGCAGGTAAAGAATATAAAAAGAAAGCTTAGTTTTACATTTTAGCAAATAATAGTCCTACCCGCAAGAGAAAGGGTCCCCGACAGTCCTAGCTGTTTCAACGCTTCACTAAGTTGTTGCACTCCTGCAGCACGGCACTTCATAACAGCTACTGTGTTTTTAAAATCAAGGTAATGTTCAATTTTAAAACAATTCGACCGTTAAAGGGTTCCGACGCAGGTGATTGATAAAGAGAAAAGAGGAAAAGGAAAATAAAAAGTAAAAGGACAGAACACCTTGCTTCAGAAACAAGCATCTCTGTAAGTAAGTACAGATATGNACTAGTCCTACCCGCAAGAGAAAGGGTCCCCGACATTCGTAGCTTTTTCAACGCTTCACTAAGTTGTTGCACTCCTGCAGCACGGCACTTCATAACAGCTACTACGTTTTTAAAATCAAGGTAATGTTCAATTTTAAAACAATTCGACCGTTAAAGGGTTCCGACGCAGGTGATTGATAAAGAGAAAAGAGGAAAAGGAAAATAAAAAGTAAAAGGACAGAACACCTTGCTTCAGAAACAAGCATCTCTGTAAGTAAGTACAGATATGATGCGCTCGTGCTTAGCTCGTGCATAGATATTTGATATGTGGCAGAAAGCAAAAGAAACTTAAGAAACCTGAACTGCTTTTTCAGATTGTGACAGCGTTTAACATTATCTGGTTGCTTCTCTGACAAAAGCATAATTAAGCCGGGAATTGTTGATCGCAATTTAAGCACAAATGTAACGATATACCAGAGAAAAAATTGTAAGAATTACAGAAATATTAGTGGAGCAATACAGCACTTCATTTGATGTGTGAGAATCACATGTACAAAATATAAGTAAAGCTGTATGCTGCCAACATACGTATGGTTGGTTCTATGAAGTTTTTCCTAAATGAAAGGCAAGAATTGGTCTCGTATTAGTCAGAACCCATATCAACCTTTATTTGGCTACCAGTCGATTCTTATATACATTTATACTACCCTTCCAAGAAAGTGTCAGCCCTAACGCAATGCGTAAAATAATACAGAAAATCATGTCATGAACCACTATTATTAATTCAACTTCTAAAGGGATTTATTTCACAAAATATTACTGATTGTACAACCAATGAATAAACTATAACCATAGTAAAAGCAAAACCACATTTTAATATTTTGTACAGTATATTTGAGGACGCACCACTCGTGTCTGTGCGTGGAGTTAGGAATTTCTGTAATGTTTGCGCAGTGATGGCGTTCCACATACGGTGCAAAGATAGTATGCGATCAATTTTGTTTGCATAGTTATCCCTCAGTTATTGATTTCCGAGGTTATCTTTCACATTTTTAATGCGATTCTCATCTAGGGATTGGCATGGCCGTTGGAGGGGGGGGGTTCTGGATCTGGTCCGCATATTACCAGCCTACTGTTGCGTTGGCTGTACGTGGAGTAGCATTATCATGCTGAAACATAAATGGACGATTATGGCCTCCAAAGATATTTTCGACAGAATTCCTTAAGTTCCCTTACCAGTACTTGGATGCAATGGTCTATGCTAAGGTTCCCGTTGACCACCGCCAACATAGCAACAAAATATTGAAAGCCACATATTGATTTTATTTTTAAAAAAATATGTCAAGACGGGTTTCTCTAGTATTTATCCATAGCCACACAATGATTTAAGAATTGCATTGACAGAAGCTGTGGTAAAAGATGAAGAACCTGGCCCATACATTGAATTGTATACAATTCCGGCAAAATTTAAGTACATATACTAGTGACAACATGATATGCCGCCTACAAGAGTGGCTGGGCCTCGATACAATTAGCTCTTGTATGTCGCGTGCAGTGCGATATCATATCCAACAAGTAGAGGCGCTCAACAAGCGTAGATCTCCGTCAAATACTTAAGTTGTAAGAAAGTATAGCCAATGTGCCCGGAAACACTCTCGAGAAAAATATTACGATAGGGAAAAAACTACAACAACTATGTTTAGGGCCTATTATAATTATTATTATTATTATTATTATTATTGCAATTAAATTTTCCATACAATTTTGCAAATGATCCAATAATAATATCACTTTCCGTAGCCAAGACGCAGGACGCGTTCGCGTGTGATGCAAGAGGTCAGGTCACAGCATGCGATAACGTGTTTTTTCCTTGCTCCATTGGCCCTGTGACCAGTCCTGAAGATTTCATCAAAATCCGTCCATAACTTTCTTCATATAGCATAACAATAACTAACTGACTCACAAACTATGTGACCAACAAATGGAACAAGAAGCGTAACCTTCTTCTTGACAGAGGTAAAAAAGAAGCCAAAGTCTAGTCAAGAATCGGCAAAATGGTCGATAGAGTGGACCATTTGGCCGATTATTTTCTCCTAGTTGTCTCCTCTGGTATTATGTCACGTTGACCTGAGCCGAGGCACGTTGATGCAAATACAGTGTGAAAGCAGCAGATGGTGGAAATTTGTTTGTCTTCACTATCTGTGCATCTCCTCTCCTTTAAAATTGGCTTACCTAACGTAATGTGACGTAGACAGACCAGCAGCACGTGCACACTTGCTCATAGTGCACGAGGACGGTGCTTCAAATCAAGGTCAAGGTCGGATGCATGTACCTGTCACCAAGAACTGTTCATATGCGCAAAAATATTATAATCATTTTGTTAAGCGAAATCAAATGTGAAAAACGTGATGAGGAATAAAGTTTAAAGTCTCCAGGGTGTATATCCGATCGTTTCAAAGTCATTTATTTTTCTAGCAAATTAATTTTTTTTATTTTTATCTATTTTATTTTGTTTAAAATACTTATCTGATTGTCTACCCGTGTGTGTGATTGTGTGTGTGTGTGTGTGTGTGTGTTTAAAATGAAACAAGTTGGACATGTTAATAGAATTTACAAAATCCATCTTGTTAAACTGAAAAAACAATTTCCGGTAATATTTCATGGACCTTGTGCAATCGAATTCGTGTTTTCCTCGTGTGGGACTTTGAGCATGTGTGTTACTGAAATAAGACAACCGGACTAAGAAGATTAGTCTTTATTATGCACCGCATTCAACACCGTTTAGACTAATTTGCTTTTAAAGTACCTGCAGACACCAGGCGAGTCATGCGTGAATTTAACTCTGGAGTAACGCATTATTCGTCAATGTACCTAAGCACAGGACGAGAATGCTGTTCGATTGGCCTTAGGATGACACTGCGTACGTGCACGCGCACTTAATCTTGGTTAACTGAGTTTGATAACGGTTTGAGTTACAACGTTGTTTGACGCGGTCGTGTAGATCTTCATGTACTCATATAAATATGACTAGACACCAGACAAGAGCTCATAAGCTGAAGATGCAGGGATATCTGTTTCTGTGTCTCCTCCTGGTGGGCGTGCAGACTTTGCATGCACAGAGCTGTAAGTTAACTAGACAATTAGACGAGTCAGGACATTAACGTTTTTGATAAATGAAACATTTGCATAGTTTTCAGTTGAGCATGATTATTCATCTGCAAATTTGAAATAAAAAACGAGAACGAAATAATTAAGTTTCAAGACACTCCTTCAATATTTAGACTAAGTTCTTCATTACAGCGTGGGAATGCAGTTTCGAGAGTAACTTATGTTCATTTACCAGTGAAGGGTACGGCTGGACAAGACTTACTGGAGCCACTGGCAGCAGTGGCACGGGGCCCAGTGGAGCGTACGATGGTAAGTGCATTCGCATGAGTTCATTGTAATTGTAGATATTACATTTATCGTCATAAAAGTAACCAGATATGTTCATCTTTATCCTTTGTTAGCAATTATGTTCCCTAAAATATAAAAATTTGACACAAAATCAAATCTGAGAGATATATAGTATTTTATCCTTTTTCCATTTTGGAAAGCCACAAATGTGCAGTCTTTTTGTATGGTATACGGTACGGTATATGTAGAGTTGACCAAAGCATATAATCAGGGGGATACATGTTGTCGAGGAGGGGGAAGGGGCAAACTTGTTTGTCCTGTACCGACACCCTTTAAATGTTTCAACAACATTGTAATAGAACTATTAGACAAAAAATCGCATGATAGCATATAATACTACACTAATTAATATAAGGAAGTTTAATGTTCATATCGCATATAATCAGTAATAAGCGAAGGTGTATTAAAAAAAAGAAAAAAATGGAGACTCTAAAAACTCAAGACTGCAGAAAATACAAAATTGGAATACCCACCAAAATAATGTTTATTTACTTATCCAGGCAGGTATTATATGTATACTGAGACGTCCAGTCCCCGTCGGGCCGGGGATCGATTTAAGCTGGTCAGTAAACAGTTTGTTAAAACTGGAATGTGCCCGACCAAATTGGCCTTCTACTACAACATGTACGGCAGAACCATGGGTACCTTTAATGTTTACGCCAGGGACGTGGATACCAATAAAAACACTCTGCTCTTCACTCGGTCAGGAAACTTGGGAAGTGTGTGGCTCTTGGCACAGGTGGACCTACCTAAAGAGCTGAGCAAATTTAAGGTACCGATATCAATTCATACTTGGTGTAATCATTCAAATTCGAGATTAACAGATAAAGGATTCTTTTCTTCAAATTCATGGCATGTTTTCGATGTTTATTCATTTTTGAAATAATTACCGCATTATCTGGTTAGGTGTCAACTTACAACCTCGTTGCCAAAATAAAAGGCTTTCAAAAGTTAAAAAATAAAAATAAACGCTTGGAATTGGACATGAGTCACCTTTTTGGCTTTAATTATTATTATTATTATTATTATTATTATTATTATTATTATTATACGCTAAAAGTTATTTGAATTGGTACTATTCACTGTTCAAATCAGGATAGTAGTGCAGTTACGGTTTTATTTCCAGCAATGTATTTCATCTTTCGCTTCAGAACATGTGAAGCCAATGGAAATAAAAGAACTATTGCAATATTTTAGATCGTCTTTGAAGGCATCCGTGGGTCGGATTACTATAGTGACCTCGCTGTAGACAAGATTTCCTTGAGAGGACTGGGCGATTGTGTCGGTAAGTACACGGTATATTGCTGTTCATCGGTATCATTCCATTATCAGACAAATTATCGCGTATGCCTTGAAGTTTCGGACTAAGCAATATAGCAGACCCCCTGTAAGGATGACCATTTTCTGCTGACCGAGATGTATCTGGGGACAAAGCACATACATTCTGTTGAAAACGAGGCAATTTCAGACTGTACACCAAATGTCACTCCCAGAACAGACTTCCGCTTAAGTTTAGTGCAATGAATTTTGTTGAATATTATGACACCCAGCTTCTGAAAATGCAATCACTCCTTTGTCTCCTAGATAACTGTCAATCATGCGAATTCAACAAAGTTTGTGAAGAATTTTATGAGATATTTTGCCCACCACCAACCAGACAAACCTTGATAAAAACAATAATAAAACTCGTTAGTAAGGTGGAGGTAAAGAAGGTATCACAAAAGGTGCAGTTTTGCCACAATTTCATTTTTCCCCTTTTATTTCAGAATTTTGTAGCGAACCCCCAGCGGGCACAGACCAGGTCACCATGGTGTACAACAAGGTACCGTTTGATAGCAACGTCACCTACACGTGCCCAGAGGGTCTGTACATGAACAACGGGACCAGAAACGTGACATACAGGTGTGATGAAAACGGCACCTGGCCCATCACCGAGACGCCAAGGTGCCAAGGTAAGGAAGGAAGGAAGGACAGGGTTTCCTTTCTACAAACGCGCCATTTTCATAGTTTCATTGTGGTTGTACATTGGTATACGACAGTTTTTTCAATAATTCAGCTTTGATTCAGGATGCATGTGATATTTATCTTGGCATTGAATTTATCATATGGCTAAAATGAATCAGTTCCATTTGTGATCCTTACTATTTATACTGTTCACACTTTCATTACAGGATCCACTTACTATGCAACTACAAAAAATAATGACAACAAGCGAAAGAAAAAATTAACCGCTTTCAAAATATCACTTTTATTGCAGCTGACTGCCCAAGTTACCGTCTGTTAAACAGCACCAGTGGCGTCATCTACAGTCCAAATTACCCTGAAAACTATCCTGTCAGCCAGAATTGTCGGTGGTCAATCCTTGTCCCAACTGGACGGTCGGTCAGGATATCATTTCCCGTGCTTCAAACCGAGTACGACTATGATGTGCTGGAACTGTATGCGGTAACATTGACTTGAAACATTTCTGTAACAACTACATGTATTTTCTGTTGCTTATTCTAGGCCTATAATTGTGCTATTTTTCACTGTGCCTACTATAATTATGTAGCACAGCAGCACTTGGTTTGTCATGTAAAAATGCCGTTTTCCCAAGAAAGGTGTCTCTATATATTTCTATAAATGTTAAGCAATGGTTAGCATACTGACTTAAAGTGAGAAACTGCTGTGACGCCCCAAATCCATCGATCCATTTGCCTTAATAATATATCCCATTCTTTTATATAAGTTTTCATGATTTAGTTAACACATGCCACTTCTATATCAAATATACTGAAACACTCTCATGTAAATGATCACCATTTTAGGGGTATAACCGCAGAAATCTGCTTGTTACTGCTAGTGGAGACATTCCACCCGAACCAGTTAAGACCAACTCCAGTATTGTGGATGTGTACTGGAAGAGCGACATGTCAAACACGGACCGTGGCTTCACTCTCATGTATAACAGTGAGTGCTACATGACCAGCATTGTGTGTCGGACACGGACAGTGGATATTGTGCAAAGTGGTCTCACGTTGGGTTTAAAAAAAATAAAATATGGATCTTTTGAATTATTATTTTCTACAGGGAATTGTGTCTTTATAATGCACTAAGGAAGTTAATACTTATTTATCAAAGAAACTTTATAATCTTTATAAATTTCAATTAAAAAAGAGTCTGTTTTCAGTGACACCATGTGGAATTCCAAAACCTCCCATCAACGGCTCAATAGAAATAATCGAGGGACTCGATGTCGGGGATTCGATCACCTACCAATGTAGAAAAGGGCATGATTTGGTTGGGAAAGCAACGGCTGTTTGTACTCTGCAGGGATGGAACTCACCCACACCCACTTGTCCACGTGAGTGTTGACCTGTTTTTCTGGGTTAATGCGGCTATGGGGTTCTAACAGGTGTTCTGATGCACACCTTAGGTGACAGGGCACGAACGTGACGCTGCTATCGTCCGGTGTCTAATTCAGATAAGAGCGTAAAGGCAGTTCTTAAATTAGCGAAGGGGGTACAAACAGCGCATGGGCCAGCTGCGAATATGCATGGTTGGCACACATTCTATATCAAACCAAATATTTTACCCTGTTGTTGTTGTTGTTGTTGTTCACCACATCACTGCTACCCTCTATTATAAATTTAACCATTCAGTTGTGCTTAGATATTCAGGGTCTTAAGACACCGCTTTACTATGTTTTTAAATCTGTGTAAAATTATATCCAAAGAATTGGGACTATCATTAATGCATCTATGTATCATTTGTGTTTCTATGAGATATAAAAAAAATACTGGCAAAAAATGTTTTGGCGCATGTTTTCGTTCCTTCAGTTTTCCTGCAACAATAATGAACGATATCGTTTTTATTTATTCCATTTAAAACAGCGAAGTCCTGCGGTAATTTGACTGCCCCTGCCAATGGCTATGTTTCTGGTGGTTCGCTGTATTCTAACCGTGTATCCTACAGCTGCCAGCGAGGCTACATGTTGAAAGGGGACATATATCGGATGTGTACGGCCGAGGGAGTGTGGAGCGGTGCATCTCCCACTTGTGAAGGTATAATTGTCTCTGGTGGAGAGTAAAAACTTTTTTTAATAGTTCAGTGGCGGTAGACTACTAAGTAAATGCAGCAACGGTGGGTGCTACAAAAATCAAAACGTCACTTCACAAAGGGCAGGCTGTATTGACAATATTTTGAAAATCGAAAGTAGTAGTAATAGTAGTAGTAATAGTAGTACTACTACTACTATTTTGAAAATCGAAAGGGTAAGAAAAGTGCCATTTATGTAAGAGACAATTTTTCTCACATCAAAACAAAAAAACTCCTTATTTGATACCAAGTAGGCCTACTGTTATAATCGAAAGAGATTTTTATGTCATCATAAAATCTAGTTAACCCTTACTTCATACAAGTATTAATTTCTGGTAACATTGATACCCATGTTGAATTTCTTTTGCAGTTACCACTTGTAAGCAGCTACAAGCTCCAGAATTCGGTAAAATTTCGGGTGCTGAAAATTATGTCTTCGGAGCTAAGGTAAAACTTAGCTGCCGATATGGACTGAAGTCTGGTTCACTTCAAAGAGAATGTTCCGACGGAGGCTATTGGACCGGGTATACCACCATATGCAAAGGTTTGTACTGCGCTCTTGATCTCTGTCTGTTATCAGCGTGACTTTAAGGAACTTTAGGGTGGAATAGGACCAAAAATCACGTTTTTATAGATAAAATAAACAGTATGTCTTTAAAGAAAAGACCCTGAACCCCTTTTGTAGTACTTTGTTCCAGTGTTATAATTCAATTAAAAGCATGTTTATACATGTAGCTGTGAAGGTGCCTGATAAAATCAGGTAACCGAAAATGATGTTTTTGACCCAAAATAACCAATATTACGTCACATTTAAGATGAAATTTCCAAGCTGCGGTCCTCCCTTAACGTTTCAATATCGACCGTTTATACGTTATAAAATTCATTTCAGATCCTCTGGAGTGCAATTTCGAAAACGGGTTTTGTCAGTATTCCTTATCCGGAACACAGACTTGGCTAAGAAATCGCGGTCAAACTTCCAGCAGTGGCACCGGACCCAGTGTATCCAACGGTAAGTAGTCTATACACCGGACCCAGTGTATCCAACGGTAAGTAGTCTATACACCGGACCCAGTGTATCCAACGGTAAGTAGTCTATACACCGGACCCAGTGTATCCAACGGTAAGTAGTCTATACACC